CCTGGAAAATTAACTCTAAGACCACTGCCATTGATTCAATCATGACTCATAGCAACCCACACTGGGTTATCAAGACTGTGAATCTTTACAGAAGTAGATTGCCCCACATTCCTCCCAAAGAGGAGCTGATGGATTTGAAATGCTAACCTTCTGGTTAGCAGCCAAATGCCTTACCCACTGTACCACCAGAGCTCCTTAAAGCAAAACAAACATATGTAAAGATAGATAGATAGATAGATATTAGAAATCACAGAAGCCCCTTTTCCTCTGAACCATGTCTCCTTCATAATTAATTCAACATTAAACAAAATACTATCAACACTACCAATTTTTGGCACCAACAAGTGCATGACAATTTTTATAGTAACAAAGTGTATCGATAGCAATACATATAACTGACAAAGAATAGAAATCACACAAGTTTTATTCATGTCTTTTATTGTTGAAATTTTATTGTTGAAATTTCACCAAGATCTGTGCATCTCCTGATCTAAATATGTGGTTGTTGTTATGTGCCATCCAGTTGGACCCAACTCATAGCAACCCCTCCTTGGGTTTCCGAAGCGGTATCACTATGGAAGTAGATTGCCCCACCTTCCTTCCGAGGAGTGGCTGGTGGGTTTGAACCATGAGCCTTCTAGTTAGCAGTCAAGTGCCTTAGGCCCTACGCTACCAGAACTCCTGATCTAAATATAGTAACTGTCAAATAGTAGACCACAATAAATATTGCATGAAGTAATTGAATTGTGACTGACTGTATGGGTGACCAATTATCACCCAACTATTCAAAGGAATAGATGCTATCTAATCTTTAGTATCACAGAGAAACACTCTTCCACTTTCTTTGTTACTATAACAAGAACATACGAGAATGGGTAAAGCAAGAACCTATCCTGGGAAAGAACTTCATCTTCCACAGTTCTGTGTGATCCCGCAAAACACTTGAAGGTGCTTTAGATTCTGTTCGAGTGAAATAAAAAAAAATGCCTTGAAGAATTTTCAGAGGAGATAAAACATGATGATATTTCCATTTTTAAAAGATTGTTATGGCTACAGCATGAAAAATAGAGGAGGGAGTAAGGTGGATAAAGGAAAGCAACTTAGGAGACTTCAAAGAGAAAAAATTAATTTGGTTTTGAGTAGAGAAGAGTAGTAGAGACAGATTCCACATATGATTTGGAGGAATAGCCAAAAGGATTTAGCTCATGTATTATATGTATATTAGGAGGGAAGGTGGAGTAAATAATAACTCAATGACTTGGTCCCAAGTGGCTGGAAAACAGAATTTGTGTTTCCTGAGATTTGCAAGACTGCTAGAGTGTCAAGCATGAGTGGGAAAAAATCAAGAATTCAGTTGTTAACAAGATATGTTTTATTTTCCTGCTTCACAACTAAATGATAATTCAAAAAGTCAGTCAGAGTTCAGATTAGAATTCTAGACTGAAGTACAAATTTGGTAGTTTCATATTAGAAGGAGTATTTAAGCATATAAGGTTTGTTGAGATTACTTAGGTAAGAGAAAACATTTGGGACTGAATCATGAGGCAGTTAGAGTCAGTTTGGAAACAAATTATACAAGAAGTAGGGATAAATGA